GTTTTCTCAGCATTTGTCAAACATCCCATCGCCCGATAAAACACGATCAAGTAAGGCGAGAGGTGATTGAGGGTTCCTCCTTTCTCTTCTTGCGCATGTTGGCGCGTCACCTTCCACAGGAGCCGTGCCCAATGCACTGGAGCTCCTGACAACACTAGCTCCACAAATTCTACCTGCCAACCATGCATGTAAGCGGTCTTGGTCGGCTGCAATATCTGCAGCAATGCAGTCGCGACATTTCTCCGCAATCGATCTTTGTAATCCCGTGTCCGGAAACCGTTCTTGGGATGCCTGGCAACTTTGAAGAGCTCATTGTAAGAGACTTCTTCCTCCTGGGACACCTTCACGCTATCGGCCTCGAAGAGGAGGTCCCCTTCCTCGCCGGCACACCTGCCCAGCACCTGCGCCCAGTTGCAAATGTCCCATCTCTCTGGGTGTGGGCGGAATCCGCGAGAGGGCTTGTGTCTCTCCTGCAGATACTCGCGCACCATCTCCGGACATGTCCAGTTCCACCCCCATAGGAGAAAATCAAGCTTCAGCCTCAGCAGCACATCTTGAAATGCGCGTAGACCGATCTGCAGCACCCTGAGTGGAGACACTTGCAGCTGGGGAACCTTCGACATTGCGTTGCCTGCACACACAAACGTTCTCCCTTTCGCTCGCTCTCTCACAATCGCCACTGCGCGTCGGCCGCTCAAGCACTGACTGCTCACTCTCTCTGCGCTCAAGCTCAAGATCGCTACTCGCAATTCTCTCCAAGGTCTGCCAAGATCCTTGCGCAACTCGTCTCCGCACTCTCTACTCTCACTGCAGGTCGCTCCGCCCTTGCGCGTAATCTTGGAAACTGGAAATCGCAAAGTCAAGAATGAGAGAATGAGACTGGAGCGCAGTCTTTTCTTCTCCGATTTCAAGAACGTCCAACGTTCTTACTGGTTACAACGTACGCAGCCGGCTATACGGCTTAACGGTTCGCCCTTTGCATGCGCGAATTCACGTCTCCGCACTGCGCGCATTCGCATGCGTAAATGTTGAATTCTCCCGCCGCCGCCACCTTCCGGACTCGAGTCCGCTGCAGGGTATACGTCGGCCCTGTTGTCTTTTCCTAACCCGTCCCTCACCGGAGGCGTGTCGCCGCTGGTGCGTTCATTATCCGTCGGCGCCTTGCTGGAGGCGCACATCTAGTCGGAGCGAATTACGCCGGCGCGCAGTCGTGCCGCTTATTTTGTCCTTTATGCCTCGTCCGTTGCTGCCGGCACATATCCGCCAGCGCAACTCATGCCAGCGCATCCGGCCGTCAGCGCCACGTCGGAGGCGTACATCCGACCGGCGCTTTCCTTCCATGAACAGCCGCCAAAGGCGCTTCCGACTCTGAGTTGGTTTCCTCCTATGAGCGCGTGATTCCGCCGAAGGCGCATCGCCGAGGGCGTACGGGAATCCTTTCCGACTGTGAACCCTAGCGCGTACGGCGCATGTCCGGCTACGAGTTTTCCGACGCTCATAACTTCTCCATCCCTGATCCATCTCCGACGCTCTTGGGCTCGTTAGAACGAGCGTCCCGAGCTCTTTCTAATGCGACTTCAACCAACTGGATCTACCGTGTATCCCGATTGTTATGAAGGTTTCCCCTTTCCGCGCTAGCGGCGCATCGCCGAAGGCGCACTCATGGTCGGACGCCTTCAGAGGTCCGGGCCCTTCTCCTGACGTCTTTAGCAAAACCTCAGGATGAGGTTTTGCTAAAGAAGCGTAGCTTCCTTATACGCTGGAGGCGCGTGAGTAGAGACACCTCAGAAAAGGAGCTTTTGCCGAAGGCGCCGAAGACATTGGCGTGGGTACATCCGACTACGTGAATCTTCGTGTCCTCGTGACGATCTCATCAATCCACTCTATTTAACGTACCCTTTTCTAACTACAAACACTGCTTCGGTACTAGTTTTCTAAAATTGTTTAAATTCTGCAAAAAAAACAAAAAGTGTGTTACCACAAGTCATCACCCTAAATACAGCTATTTGTACAAACCTAATCATAGTTAGCTCATGTCACGAGTTCAATCCTAACAAGGTTTTCAAATTTTAAATTTAAGACTAAATTAACATCCAGATTTTGAAATTTTTTACATTAATGTGTGTTGTGATTATCTCAAGTAATGATTTTTGAATCATCTTCAAATGTTAAAATAAATCAAAGTCAAAGAAAAAGCTTCTTTCAAATGATTACGTGCAGAAAAATCTTGAAAGGATTTTTTTGTCTTTTTAAATATTTTCAATTGGTTAAAAGAACTCCATGATTCATATAGCCTTGGATTTTTGGATAAGTTGAATTTGGCCACATAATTTATGTATGTAAATAAAATTTCAATACTAATTTACTTTCTTGAACATTCATGATTTAAAATCTTTGATTGGATAAATCAATAGTGTAGAAATAAACTTCCAGTGACTTCATCGCGATTTACTAAATTCCATATTGTGCATATTTCCTAAATAAGTGTTTTGTTTTATGGATAGTAGTCACATAAAGTATGAGATGTAATCTTGCTATAAGTAAATAAACTTTTCTTCTTATTATGACATCTATCGATATTATTGCAAATGAAAGTCGTAACTGTACTTTTTGAAAGTTGAAAGTCGTAACTGTACTGTAATTTATTGTAATTTTGTTCTATATCTTGATGATAATACTTAATATCATTGGAATGTGCAGTTAGTGCCACAAGTTGCAAAATTCCCCGTATTCAACTCACAACGTAACAAACTATACCATGATGAAATAAGTTACCATTAAAGATAGAGGCGACTTGTTACTTTCATGGCTGTTTTCCGTATGCAGTGTACATGAAATCTTCATCAAATTTCATATTTTCAAGATCCAAAGTGCCGTGGATGTCCAATCCATCCATGAACACGTAGGGATGCACCTCAAACACGTAAATGTTAGTGGATGCAATTTGCCTCTTACTGATCTTCGAGGCCGAGCAATGTCCAGTTTCTCATACTTCAAATTATCTACAGCATTGCATTACATACAGCATTGCAACACTCGCCACTTCAGAATGGATGATGAAGGCAAGAACTCCAACCACGTATGGATTTTACTTGGTCGGCAGCCACCAACCACGTTGGTTGGTTACCTTGTCTAGAGGTGAACCTGTTCGCCGACTTTTCTGGTCAGATAGTTTTGTAAATTCTAAATTCCACGAAACTACTTGGAAGTAAAATGGTGTGTTCGAGCATGTTTTGAGATCTGAAGAAGGCTGGCCCGATCAGATTCTTATGGTCTTTGGGCTTCTCTCTGATCTAGCTCACGGTTCCTCATCCTTCCTCTTGACATATCTCTTGTCGGTAGCCATATCTTCTCCAGACCTTCACTTCTTAATGTGTAGTCTTCGTATCCCTTTGCCATGCATTTCGAGTCCACTCCCTATCTATAGACGTCCTCTTCCTCAGTGCTGTAAAGTAAAACATCATGCGGTCCATGTCTCGTGCAACCTCATGTTATCGACCCAACGCCTACATCGCGAGTGAGAGATCACTGCAGTTGCATCTTGACAGAAGAGGTGGTTGGTAATCTTGAGTCTGATGGGATCTGATTTCGACATCCAGTCCTTTGACTGAATAGATTGCACAATCGTTCCCAGCGTTGTGTTCTGCCATTCTAAAGTTCGGAGTTGCGAGTGAAGAGCATGATCAATCAAGTGCACCCACCTCAGTCTCGCTTGCTCTCCTGTAGTTCAACGAGTGCCTATCTACACCGAGCTTAGACTTGGAGTCTTTATCCAGTCATTCAAATTGCAGCAACTTCCTCGAACGGATTGTGTTTCAGGACCTATGACATTTCGACGAATGATTTCAGGCGATAAGATGTGTTCCCTGAAATCCTAAGACTGTTCTCACCGAATGGTGGATCTTATCTGCTGCTTCACCCCTTCCAGACAGGCAACTGCCGGACTAATTCGTGCATGTTACAGGGCATGTATACTTGTGGCGGTGCATTATTCCGTCGTGATACTCTCTTGATCCTGCCAAACTATAATAAACTCTCTTCTAGCAATCTGCGCGCCCGCGGAACGAGCGATTTTGTGAACATGTACAGGATAAATGTGACCATCAGACCACGTGAGAATTTGATCATCGGTACCTACCGATCTATCAGGAAGATAAAACGTCGAGGTGAGGCTTCAAATCTCAGAGGTTTTTCCATCTGCGGACATATAGCGAAGAATACCGATCGATACTGATAGAATGTACTTACACGGGATCCCAACTCGGATATGGGACCTGGATGTGGATACACGACATGAATATGCAGCAGAAAGAAAGCCTGGAAAACAGGGAAACGCCTAAATCTACCATTCATGAATGAACTGCTGTTTCTGAGGTCCATTATTCCCTCCCTCGGCCATACCCCACGCCACGATGGAAGATAACAGCGTGGCGCTAGCACCTGCTGGCCCGAGGTCTCCTCGGTACAGGTCGACGTCAAAAGAAGGCTCGAGCGCAGGCTTCCAGGATCTGAGACCACAGGCCTTATATTGTGACGAACAGGGACCCGGTGCGACCGAAGACCTACACCGCCTCGTGCACGTGAGACTCTCTCCTAGCGCAATTCCCAGTCTTCAAGGAGCGAGCAACTTGCCAGCCGTCATGATGCGTTTCCACTTTCAGTGCTTACGCAGTCAACGGTTTGTCCACTTGCCCTCCTCACAGCGACTTTTGGGAAGGTTCATAGGCTCGGGCTAAATTCGCGGACTGCTCGCTCCCCCTGCTCATGAGAATCTGCCCTCCGCGTGCCTACAGTATACATCCACAAGTGCGCAGCTTCACGGAAGCACTATCGGGAGCATTTCACACTTGTCATACTTTCCCTGAATTCTGCTTCCCTCCCGTTGTATTCCTGGAGACGAGATGGAAGCTGCAGAGCGGCAGACCTGAAGGCGACCCTGTCCACCGAGCTTCTAAGCCTTTCTGTCTTTCTGTCGCTGGTCAATCTGCGAGATTTCTGGTGGGGTCCAGAAATGATGAGCCAGAACAGATTTATCATATCAATGACCATAGTACCTTTCCCAGGGCAACCAGCATTTATTTGCGGGCTGGGACGTCGACAGAAAGCGAATCTGTGGCCCCTAGCGATTATTATACGGCTTAAAGTGGAGAGAAGAATCGACACGAAGAGTCGACGAATCTGGACCAAATGACAGAAATGAGGGCTAGAATGTCGAGCTTGATGGGTGCTGAGCTGCTGAGGGGACATGAAGATCGAAACCTCGTGTACGCAGTCCGGGTACTGGACTGCACGAACTGATAGACGGGACGCTTTCTTATAGCCACCAAGGGTCAGGGTCGAGTTTTCAGGGCCCCCAGGTTTCCGAGGAATGCAAGGTTCGAATACTCGGGATCAATCCCAAGCTCTGTGTAGAAATTCTTGCTCGCGGAAGTGATTGCGGAACTTTCACGCACTGCGCTCCGGAATCAGCCGAAGAAGCTGTAATTTGAACTCGACGAAGCTCGAGAGAGGTGAATGAATTTCGTGTCTGTTTCAGTTCTCATTCCGTCCCCGTTGTTGCTCCTGCTTCCATGGTATTTCACGAACCTTCTCTGCCAACTTTCCTCTGAATCCTTCTCCCCGCATCCCTCCACGGTGCACCTCTCTTTTCCAAAGCTCGTCGCAAACAGAGTCCGATTCTCGAGCTTTCCCGAAGAGGGCACTGCTCAACCATTATGTCGTGGCGAGCGTCGACTAGCTCGGTGCTGCTGGCAATTCTGAGATGTTGGACGGAAGAGTCGGCCAAAGAGGTGGAACACCAAATTCTCGAGAACTTAGAGCTCGTCACCGAGTTGGATCTCGGCAAGAGCGAGCCCGGAGCCGATGGGGTCGTGGCTCTGGTCAAAGCCCTCCAGACTCGCGCGTTTCCTCGGCTCGAGATCATGGACTTGTCGTTCAATCCGATCGGCGACAAGGGAGTGACAGAGCTCTCCAAGGCCATCGTCAAAGGCAACTTATCTAACTTGCGAGTGTTGGAAATTCGGAATGTGCACATGGGACCTGCCGGCGGCAGGGCATTGGCGAAAGCTCTGGAATCCGGAGGTCTGTCATGTCTCCACACCCTGCGCCTCGATTCGAACGACATCCAAGACTTGGGGCTGGTGGCTCTGGCGGAAGCTCTGGAATCAGGTCACGTTCCGTCTCTGAGGTTACTGGGCGTCGGACAGAGCGACCTCCTGAAGCTCATGGGCGGAGGAGAAGATGCCTTGGAAGGATTCCACATCGCGGGAGCCGAAGCGCTCGGGAAAGCTCTGCAATCGGGCGAGCTGGCGCAACTCGAGGCTCTGCATCTGGATGGCATGGACGGGCAGGAGGGAGTGATGGCGGTGATGAGCGGCCTGGAAGCAGGCCGAGTGGGCGCATTCAGATCCCTCCATCTGTCGTCGTACGACGTCGGAGTGGAAGGCGTTCGAGCAATCGCGAGCGTGCTCACATCGCAGCGATTCTCGTCCCTCGCCTCATTGAGTCTTCCCTTCGGCATCAGCCTCCGGGACGATTCGCTGCTGGCGCTCTCGGAGGCCTTCAAGTCCGAGAGCATGAACAAGCTGCAGACTCTGGAATTCAGCAACGTATCGATGACAGAGCAAGGGCTGCTGGAGATGGCTGCTCTCCTGGAGGCCGGGCATCTCCCCAGCCTGCAGAAACTGATCTGCACCGGCGCACGCAACACGCCGGCCAGCGCTCAGGCTCTGGTGCGAGCGTACATGAAGAACCCATTCCTCGTGGTGAAGATCCTCGTCGACTGGCCGACGGAGCAGATCCGGAACAACGCCGAAGGATTGAGGAAGCGCAACATCCGATCGGTGGGCAGCTTGAAGGTGCTGAAGGACGAGCCTTTGGTGGCCGGGTGCCATGGCAAGGTGTTCGTCTGCGGCCAGCCCAAAGTCGGCAAGACCTCGCTCAGAAAGTCGCTGTGCAGCTTGACGAGGTGGGAGGCGCTGGCCGCCAGCGTCAGGAAGCGAGACACCACGAGCGACGACATCGGCAGCAGGATGGATTTTTCCACCGTGAGCCACAAGAAGCTGAGCCTCGGCCTGTGGGATCTCCGGGGCCAGGCGGAGTACGACCTCCTCCACGCCGGGTTCCTCTCGCATCTGGCCTACGGGAACTGCCAGACCACCATGTTCCTGCTCGTGTGCAGCGCCAACTACACGGGCGAGGAGAACAAGCGCTTGGCCAAGACCGAGCTCGACTACTGGATGAGGTACATCTCGTCCATGTCCGCGAGGGGCGTGCAGGACTGCAAGCCTCTGGTCTTCGTCGTCCTGAACTCCTTCCAGGGCGACCACTCTTGCCACAACCACGGCGAGTGGACCAGCATCATCAGCATGATCAACACGAGCTTCCTCGACTTCTTCAATGTCCACCCTTACCCATTCATTCTGAGCGCGCTGCACCGGAAGGACGTCAAGCATCTGAAGGCCAGACTGCTGGAGACGGCGTCGAATCTGCTGCAGGGGACGAGGATTCCGAAAATCTGTCGGAAGATTCAGGAGAGGGTCGGAATGTGGGCGGCCTCGGGCAGCAGGTATCCGATTCTCAGGTGGGGGAGCTACCTGAGGACCATAGGAGGAGCGCTAGACGCCACCAAGGTCAGGGCGGCGACTGAGTACCTGCACGAAGCTGGTCATCTCATGTACTTTCGGGCGGGATCGCTGAGAGGGGAGGATCTGGCCGGCGAGAGCCTGGTCATTCTGCAGCCCGATTGGTTCTGGAAGCAAATGCTGCAACACATTCTGCTGCCGGAGCCTTCCAACATCATATCGGACACGTCTCTCGAGCACAGCATGTGCGGCGATGGGTCCATTTTCCTTCCAGCATTCCGAGCTCACATCCGGAGAAACCTCGAGATCGACGCCGCCCAGGCGAACGAGGTGATCGCAGTCCTGACGAGCCTCGATCTCGTGTACAAAATCTCCGAGGACTGCGTCTTCGTGCCGTCCCGGCTGGAGACAGACGAGGTTCCGGCCTACTGGTCGATGGCGACCCCGGGCCATTGGGTGATGGGCTTCTCGTTGGCCATGGCAGAAACGGAGTCGGCCACCATGCTTCCGATAGCGGTCTTCCGCCAGCTGCAAGTGAGGCTTTCTCGCCACCCGGAATTCGGTCACAGGCTCAACGACAACCACTACATCGCAGGCAGGAACATGATCTCGTTCAGGAGCAGAGGGATGGCGGTAGCAGTGCAGTACGTTCCCGATCCGACAAACAGGCTGGACATTCTGGTCAGACCTCTGATTTTAGCAGATCAGTACGAGGATTACAGGGAGATTCAAGTGAACATAGCTCAGAAGATCTTAGGAATAGTTGTCAATATCACAGATGGGTGTAGCCCAACAGATTCTATAGTGCACATTAGCGAGAAGCTCTGTCCGGGGATCGACTTCATGATCCAGGTGATGAAGCCCTGGTCCACGGAGGAGGGTCTTAAACCCGTCGAGCTCAGGGACGTCAACATGTCGGTGGCCGAGGTGAAGGAGTGGATACGGAGGAGTGCGAGCGAGCCCTCGCACTGGACAGGAGAAGGAGACCATCATGTTGCGGGCAATCAGCAGCTGGTACGAAGGGATTTGGAGTCCATAAAGAGGAACTCGTTTGATCGCAGCAGGGCCTCGGTAGATAGAGACAAATTCTCACGCAACCAGCAGCTGGTGCGAAGAGATTTGGAGTCCATAAAGAGGACGACGTATGATTCTAGCAAGGCCTTATTAGATCGAGAATATGCTTCCAGCAATCAGCAGCTGGTACGAAGAGATGAGGAGTCCATAAAGCGTATGTCTTGTGATCGTAGCAAGGTCTTATCAGAAGGAGAAGATGTTTCAAGCAATCAGCAGCTGGTTCGAAGGGATTTGGAGTCCATAAAGAGGACCACGTTTGATCCCAGCAGGGCCTCGGTAGATAGAGAAAACTTTTTGCGCAACCAGCAGCTGGTGCGAAGGGATTCGGAGTCCATAAAGAGGACCACGTTTGATCCCAGCAGGCCCTCGGTAGATAGAGAAAAAATTTCAAGCAACCAGCAGCTGGTACGAAGAGATTTGGAGTCCATAAAGAGGACCTCGTTTGATCGCAGCAGGGCCTCGGTAGATAGAGAAAAATTTTCAAGCAACCAGCAGCTGGTACGACGAGATTTGGAGTCCATAAAGAGGACGACGTATGATACTAGCAAGGCCTTCTCAGCGGGAGAAGATGTTTCAAGCAATCAGCAGCTGGTACGAAGAGATTCAGAGTCCTTGAAGAGAACCACGTATGACCCTACCAAGGCCTTAATTGATCCCATTGACAGAGTCTTAAACATCGCAAGATAGCATCCGTCGAACATGGTCGCTCTTCGGGTACTTGTACATATCGCTGTCAGCTCAATTTTCGAGATCACGACGTTGTAAATATATGGCCGAAAACGTGCTTCCTGGTACCAGCTATCTCCCGAGCAAAGCTATTCCCGCTTTGCTTGAAATCGTGTGCATTCTCGGTTACTGTCTCCACGTCCACTGGGTTCCTTCTATAGTCGTCTCCAACATCGGTCCAAATTGAAGCTCTAAATCATTACTCATTAACTCGGATGAGTTACAAAACTCTCTTTCCGCCAGTGGGGGATCACCCAGAGAATTTGCAAGTCCGAAGCATTTTATTTTGTTTGGTTTCCCGACGTAAAGCGCTTAGTGATTTGTCTATGCGTTTGCTTCCATTGGTGTAAGCTACGAGAAGCCGATCAGGACAGTACAAAGGCAACCATAAAATATACAACCCATGTCTAGGAATCCACTCTACCTACTCTTTCTCTCTAAGAGATGAAGAGCAATCCTCACTCAGTGGGATATAAGTTCGTGTTTGCTTGTAGTGGAGGTGTTGTTGGCGCTCCCACGATCTCACATCCAGCTTGCAGCTCAAATGAACGGGTCATAAACATCCACAAGGAATTTCGAGAACCTTCGGACTCAGATTGACTGACTTCCCGATGAATTTTATAACAGGACAGGATGGGCAAATACTGCAAGCGAATTTGCAAAGTAATGTCCAATGGGCCAGAACATTTCGGGACTGATGATATAGCTAGCGTGGGCACTGATCGTGGGCGTCCTAGTATATCGAGGATCTCGTCGTGGTGACATCACTGGACAAAGCTTAGTACTTTACAGTGGTGTCACTCAGCACAGCTGTAAAAGGGAACTGACTGAAACACTCGCATGGAACTATTTTCAAGCATTCCCATCCGAGGGCACGACACGCCTGCCTGCGGTTGCACCAGGTCCCCGGATATTGCAAGTCACCGGGTTCGTGTGCAGACCTTCGATAGCCCGTCTCCAGAGCTCCGAAAATGTTGGAATTCTCCATCTCCTACGTGGGGATCAATCGCAAGAGTACGCGGGGCTCGCAAATTCTCCGTGGTCTCATTCGCCAGATCTCCATGCACGATTCAAATGCCGGGGCTCAACGAGATAAGCGCTGCAGGAGATTCATGAAAACCTTCCTGCTGCTCATGCTCTTGACTGCGAAACTCACCACTCTGAACTCTTCGACGAAGGACGAAGATGACGACGACGACGACGTCCCGGCGCTAGAAGAAGATCCCGCCTCCTCGAGCCTCGAGGCCCCTGTGTCCTTCTCGTTCTCGGGATTCTCCGACGTCGACAGACGCGATCTGAAGTTCGAGTTCAGCGCAGAGCTGCCGTCGTCGGCGTCGGCGATCCAACTGACGCCCTTCGACGTCGGCGGCGACGACGTGAAGGGCAAATTGTTCTACAAAAATTCGATCCCGATGAAAGACGAGGCCGGCGAGAAAACCGCCTCCTTCAGCACCTCGTTCACGTTCACGATCAGGGCAGAGAGTCTTGGGGGAGGAGGAGACGGGCTGGCGTTCGTGCTCGCGGCGGACCCCGAGTCCGAGGGAGAGGCGGGGGGGCACTTCGGAATTTTCACAGCGGCAGCGGCGCCGTCGAGCACCGTCGTCGCGGTGGAGTTCGACACCTTCATGAACGCGGAGCTCATGGATCGCGACGCCAACCACGTCGGAGTGGACGTCGACGGCGCGGTGTCCCTCGTGAGCGCCAGCGCCTCGGGCTTGAACATCTCGCTGAGCGGGGGAGAGCCCGTGACGGCGTGGATCGATTATTACTCCGAGGAGAGGACGATCGAAGTGCGGATCGGCACCGATGCGACCAAACCCTCGAAGCCTCTGATCCAAAGCTCGCTCGACATGTCGGTGGTTCTGAAGCGCAACATGTGGGTCGGGTTCAGCGCGGCCACGAGCATGGCCGCTCGTCAGAGCCACGAGATTAGCTCGTGGACATTTGAGTGCGAGTCGCTTGGCGGCGGTCTTTCTCTGTCGGAGAGGATCTGGAAATCGGTGGGATCTTACGTCGTGTGCGCAGTCGGGGCCACGGTGGTCGTGTTGTTGATCGTCTGCGTCGTATCGTCTTGCTGTAGTCAGAGTTGCCAAAAGCACTGCCCGCGTTGTGTGAAATGCTGCAGCTGCTGCACCAGATGGTGTCCCTGCACATCGAGGTGCAGTACCTGCTGCTGCCCTTGTGTGGGCGGCGGGTGCAGCAGATGCAAGCAGTGGTGCGGGTCGAGAACCTGCTCCAAATGCTGCGATGAGGCCGCTGAAGCTAGCACTGGCTCTCCTCCTGGGGCTGGTGGTAAGCCCCAGGAGAAGCCCACGGGCATCGTTCTGGACGAGGAAAAGTCTTGCCCGCAGGCTTTTCTGGACATGATCAGGGAAGATGTGTCCGAGGAGAAGGATAATTTGGACTTGCAGATGCCCCGGGGTCCTACGGCTTGCCTGCCTCAAGCCAATTCCTTCTCCCTCCCATTCACGAACCCTTTCTCTACCGAGCAGGTCTTACAACCTGGATGCATCTCCTCGCTCTTGTTCGGCCCTGACTCTGATGATGAGCTCGAGCCTGAGCCTGGTGCGCAGGGGCCTGTTGCTGCTGCTGCTGCACCAGCGCTTCGAGCTCAGCCTCTGGGGAGCTTGTTGATGGTCAGCAATACCGTGTTCGACATGCCTCCCGAAGAGGAGGAGCATGAATTTTTAGACAGTCTGTGCCCTGAGCACTGTCCTGGTCGATCTCGGCACCCTTCGGCAGTCGACTGTCTGATTGGCGACAACTGCCTGATCGAGAGTACTGTAAAACATCAAAAGCTGCAGCCGCAGCAGGACGCGAGTCCACCGGTTGCTGAGCGGGAGGTGAGGCCCAGACACGCAGAAGGTGCGGCCAGCGCGAAATTTGAAGACTATACTCTCGAGGAGCAGATTGCAATGGGTTGGGGTTTCTTCTCGCCCTGATCCGCCAGATCGCAACCGACTCCACTGCTTGTAATCCACTGGGTTTGGAACCCTTCGTGGTGAAAGGTTCGAGAGCAGCGCAACTCTGCGGTCCTGATGTTGTCGACCGGATTATCAGGTCCGACAGCAATATTGCGGAGAGCTCGGCGGAAGTAGAGGTTTCATATTCCAGGACATCGCAATTTTGACCACGGACGGAGAGAGTGAAAATTCGATTCGGAGGAAACAAGACGAGGTAGACCGATATAAGAACGATATACAAATTCCTCCTGCCACAGAACATGTGCTGAGTTCACGTGCTACTTTGCATCTGCAGCTTGGATGACCTTGAATCTTTTACAAATTTCGACATTATTCCCGTCTTAACTGCGACTGCAGCCCGACATTGGGTCTAGATGAGCTTGACGGCAGAGACTTGTCCGGAATCTGGGAGGACTCAAAGATCCGATGCAAGTCTGAATTCTCCTTCTTGTGAAGCTTCAGCTTCCTGGACATCGACATGTCGATCACGGACACAGTTTGAAATGCCTTCGAAAACTCTAGAGTTTACCCTGCGCTTGGGTAAAACCATTGCTTCCTTCATTCATTGGAGTTCCAAGAGCATTGTGTACTTAGAGATGCTTCTTCAACAATAATGGAATTAAATTAATGAGACTATAATGGGATTTCAGGGCCTAAGTCCAGTACATCCGGAGGCACTGCCATCAATGTCACAACGATCCAAGATATTAAGAAAGGATAAAAACACTGGCTGATATATATTACCCTGGATGTTGTGAATATAAGTTCCATGAGAGTTATAATATAGAACATGTTCGCATGAAAACCTACAACGTGGATTATTGCCGAACTCGATGCCTTCACTTAACATCTTCAACTATAACACCACTTCTTAAGCACCCTCAAAAAACGATTCGTATTGATATACAATGAGGAATTACATGTTTGTACACAGAAAAATCTGCTTACAATAACATGGTGCATGCTCTATTCATTGATGTCCTTCACAGTAACTTAACAATCTGAGCAGGTTGATATTTAGGACAAAATCTGTTCATGTTTCTCTTTCCTGTCTTTGACCACCATAGTCCATGCTCTTATTTTCTTCTTAAACCTTCTCATCGCCTTCTCAAGTCATAATTAGCCGTAGAACACGTCGTGTAAACGGTTGAGACATGTGACGACAACTTCACTCTGTACAACATGGCAGATTTGTGGAACCTGTTTCCTCGAGGTCACAGATCCATCATACGTATTAAAATTTCCATGAAGATAATTTTGTAAATCTCAATATGACCTAGGGCAGAGCAATATAAATCACGGCAACTCATGTTCTCACACACGGTCGCATACTCTATCAGATCTCCCGCAGTCACAATCTGAACTCCGAGAGAACCAAATTTTCAAGTAGTGCCATTCGTAACGAACAAGGATCGAAACGGAATGAACTTCTTTTCACAAACACGAACCTTGTCGTCATATTATTACACATTTACTGGGATATTCCTTAATTATGGAATGACTATTGTTCAAAACATAAAACGAAGATTCACTTGGTAATTAAGAGTCTGGCAGTTTGAAGCAAAGCAACTCGACTCCTAAGAAATTTGCACCCAAGCGTATCGTGGCCGCTAGGATGTCCCAAGTGTGTTTGTGAAAAACGACCCATGAAATTCCCGCCCAGGCACAGTACATTAACTCCGAAAAGTTCTGAATACTTTACAGTTTATTCTGGTCCCTTCAGACTGCAAAAGTTCCTAACCAATCCTAGCTACTTTGTTCTCGGAATTCAATATATCAAAACTTGGAGGTCTTTCTCCGAGTATCTACAAAATCTTTGACCTTAGAAGTAAACAAAACTGGAGAGCCCTCTACAGCGATTTCAGTACACTACGCATATGCTACGTACACATATTCCCGCTAGTTTTCACCCTCTACTGGTCTACTTACGGAACTTCCAAGAAAAAGATAAACAGCAGTAAATGCAGTGTCATGAGAACTTTTGAATCCCTGCAATCTGCTACTGTGTATAGGTATGTCCTTGGAAACTGGCTGTACATGGGATTTGAATGAATCATTTACCTCATAGATCGATAAGTTTGAAGCCATCTTATTATCTAAAACATCTTTCGTGAAGCTCGTGAGCTTCATAAGCAGACGTTCGGCTTGCACAAGATACGCAGTTCTCGAGCCTAATTATCTGCACACATCAAAAAGATTTTATTTAGGCATCCCAGCAAAAGTACAACTCCCTTTCGTATTAATGTGATTAGACCTATTGAGCAATTTGAATCCATGGTACCAAACTAAAACTAATACGCTTCCATCCTTTCATCTACACCAAGAGAATTGGGCAAATACCCGCCCAGACAGATTCGATTGACTTTTAATCAAACATAGAGCAGCCATGATCCATTCAGAACATCATTTACCAAAACCAAGATTTCACTATCAACAGATATTCGAAGTCGCCAACGTCACTTTAGAAGTCGGGCCACATCCCTTCGGCACTTTTAAGCTGGTACAAGCATGCTACAAACGTCTGTAGATCATACTGATTGAGTCCTACTAATTCTGCACTTTTAGAAACTATTACTGGTCAAAAGACACGTAACACACGACACAAGAAACTTGCAAGTACTGACGAAGATGGGCATCAGGTGCTCTGTATAGCTTATTTGTTGCAAAAGACAGAGTGGCTTACACATTGCCTGCTCCAAACGCCAGTAAATGTCATACTTCTCTGTTCTCCTTTCTTGGCATGTCAGCCAACCGCTGAACCCGGTGGAAAAGAGGAAGGCAGACCATCCGATACCAAAGATTTCTGGCCACTGTTTGCTTTCTGAACAATCTGGTATCCCGATAATTTTATGACTACTGCCATGGGCAGCGTGTCCAAAATATCGTAACGTAAGAAGTTTACACTGATTTGCACCCTCTCCTCATCGAGAGCTCATAGAGAGGATGCTCTTTGTGACCATACTCAAAAACCGCGGAACTTGCCTTGCTGGAGATACTAAGTTCATTCAAGAACCTTGGCCATCTACGTCTGCAAGCTCTAGATTTTATTGTTTTGAGGCCTTCTCGGTAGACATGTTGCTGCTTGAACGACTTTCCGAGGTTTCTTGCCACGAACAAATGAGAGGCAGAGATTCTTGTGTATCCAAGTTCAGACAAGCATACTTACTTCCAACGGCTTCCACTTCGACTGCGGTGCATCTCCAAGAGTTGCTCCAATGAGACAGACACCCACATGTCTCCTGTTTGCGCAACCACCTTCTGTTTTGCAGAATCCACACATACACTAATCGAACCAAACCCATACACCTGCAAGCCCTCGTGCACGCGTCCAAGCTTTGGCAAAAATTGCACATCGTTGTCTTGGGCAAATCCTTCCAAAATCTCCTTCAAACTCATATTTTCTGCTCCATGATTATCTACTCCATAGGTGGATGCCGCATGTTGTTGTTGTTGTTTGGTGAAGGCAGCTTGTTGCTGGGACTCAAATTGACGCTGCTCTGTGACTCGTAGGTAGCTTACATTTTCTCTCGCACCAGGCTGGACAACAGGAGCTCCCTCCACAGCTTGGTTCATCATATCCAGTGCCACATTCAACTGCCTCCGTATCCTCTCATTTGCTAATAGCTCTGGAGGGAATAATGATTTCCAGCCCAAGTACCACTGAGTGACCTCATCAAAGTTCGGATTTGAGCACAGCCAGTGATATAACACCTGTTGCCACTTAGGGAAGAAGCCAGCTTCTAACATTCCGGCCATGTGGTGTATTGGCACGGCCGTAGCCCAAGCCATAACCCAGTTGAATTCTTCTAACTGCTGATGGGCAGGATTCACAACTAATTCTTGGAGTGCATACATTAATTTTGGCACGATCGAACGGACTAGCAGCTGCTCCCAACTAGCTGCGTCGAAAACAGATTGCCATGGGGACAGCAAGGAGTAAGCTGAGGTATCACTAGGATGCCACGCCTGCAGAGCATTTGTGAGCTTGTACCTTATTGGCAAATATAGACCCTCCATACGTGAACCAAGAAGCGGTAGCCATGGATGAAGCCAAGCATGAATAGGCACGGTTTCTTGACGAGGATCCCACACATCTACAGCTACTGTCAATTTCGGCATAACTAGATGTTCCAAGATGTTTTGCAAGATTCCAGAAGGTAACAACTTCTCCCATGCTTCCAGAAACCTCAGCATCGGCTCCGGATCCCGTGGTTCCCAAAAATTTGTGGCTGCAGTGCGAACCGCAGGCATTATGGCCTCCATCACGAGTTGAGTGTAAGGAGAAGAATGACCTCCGTATGCAGAATCGGAATCCGAGAAAATAGAGTAATCCTTGGGTTCGTCACCCTGTAATAGACCTTGCCAGGCACTCATGACGTCAATGCCATGGAGCGGGTGTTGAAGTGGTTCCCAACCTCGAAAGAGTGTGACCATCGACGGCATCACATAAGAAAGAGCAATAATTCCTACGTTGTAAAGTTTGTAGTCCTCTCTGTGTGTAGCCTGCAGCGTGGCGAACGAGCCAGCCAAGGATTCTAGACTCATCCCACCCGCGGCGACTTTCTCTTGCAACTTTCGGATAGAGCCCATGATAGTTTCCATGACATCTATTTGCTGTTTCTGAGTTATCACCTCTCTTTGCAACCGCTCTGTTTCTTTCTCCAAAACGACAATGGAGTCTCTCTCATGCGCCAACTTCCGGTCACACATCTGAATTTCTGCTTCGGCTAAATCTACAATAAGCCTGATATTATGCTGAAGTTCCGGCATAGGTGTATTCTCTTCCTTCGCAACATGCTCCGCGTTCAAGCTCTCTAAATTTGTTAAAACTCGCACCTGAGGCCCTCTCATATCCAGCACAGTTTGTACAGTCTCCACTCCCTGCTTTTGTGTGAGGAGCTCTGAGGCAGTCACATAATCCTTCTTTTTCTTGTTACGATTCCTAATGTGCCACAGCTTCTCTTTGGGCTTGTCTTTCACTTCCCTGGCCTTCTCCTGAAGAACCTCTGTACCGGGAGCAGGTGGCAAGCCCGTGCTCGTCTCCTTAAAATCGTTGAACCCCATTCCCATCTTCGTGGGTCTAAGTTTTGCCTCAATTGGGGCCGCAATACCCTGCTGATTTTTACCCAAACCACCTCCTTTGTACCCCATTTTCTCCAGTAATTTCAACCCTATTCCCCTGGTATGCTTTTCGAATGTACCTACCTCAGGACCTACGGCGACTCCGAGTTCCGAAGCCTTGGTCTTGGACGCAGAGACTTTGGCCATCTCCTTCTCCTTCTGCCTCCTCTCTGCAGCCTCTATAATTTGCCGACCGAAAGCGGTGGGCAGAAGATCCTGATCCTCTTCCTCATCTTTCCTTGCCCTGGCAGATTTGAAACCTAATCCTGAACCTAATCCCGGTCTCTCCCCATCCTCATCCTCTTCTACTACCACCTTCTCAGCCTCTTCAGTGGGCTTCACGATCCCCGTCGACACAAACGCGACAGGCTTCGTCAAATCACTCTTCTTCATTACATCCCCACGCCGTCTTCTCTTGGAAGAATCCTCGTCTGAATCGCTCTCCTCAAAAATTCCATACAACGCCTCTTCCTTGGTCTGGTTATGCTTCTCCTTCCGCTTACGATAGTAATACTCTCCACCGACCCACTGCCCATCGGTGTAATCGTTCTCCATGCTAAACCTCTCCATGTGCTGATACTCGTCCATTTTCGCGAACTTGAATACTTCTCCCCGCTCGGATAAGGAGTTTATATTCCTATCTAGATCAGTACTATCCAACTTCGGTCAAAACTTGCTGTAATCCTCGTCCTTCCCTTCCTCTGATCGTCTACCCTTTTACTTCGACAGGTCCACATGATCCAGCGCGACTGCAAAACAGAGCAATCAGCAAGGATTTTCTTGAAAATCAATTGATACTTCTCCCACAATGATCTTCACTACCAAGGCTAGCTGAGCGAAGAAATCCCGGCATGAACATAAAAGCTTCCAGTTTTGAATTTTTTTACTTCACCAGTCAGAAGCTTCTCCTGATCAATCTTAGAGCAATAAAACAAGGGTAAAGAGAACTTCAAGAGCAGAGACTTGAGATTTGTCTTCCTCTACTTGACGTAATTCAGGATAATTGATTGAAAGAGGAACCATTCAAGAAAACAAGCGAGTCAGAAGCTGCGATGCCATCACATGGGCTACCCTAAATTACATGCCATTTTCAGTCATTTTCTGAATGCGTTTCACAGTACTTGAGAATCAAACAACCACAGATAGTGAGTGCGCAAGGCCGTTATTCGGATTGTCTACACATGTAATCAGACCAGGAAATGTACAGAAAAATCCTGCGTATTTCTGGTCAGCCGTTGCTTTTCAACACTACTGTCATCGAACCAGCTTCATACTAGGGTTTAATGGTCGAATCTAGAAATCTTGGGCAAGAAGACTTCTAGAATTCCAGAAACTCGTTACAGTGACAAACTTCTCAAGAATGTAAATACTGGCCAGCAGAGAATCGAAAGCCCGAAGCTTACGAGAAATAAAGGAAAAATTGCCATTAGGCGGGCTGAAAATTTAAATCTTACGAACCAGAACCACCTCAAGATAATGAAAACCATGATTCAAGCGAGGTTGTAAATACTGTACATACCATGAACTACTATACAGGAATATAGCATTGCAGGGGTATTTTGGCCCTACCGCACTTGAAATCGATCTCTTGGGAGTAACGGACAGCTTACAGCTCTATTGTTCATAAATCGGTTCGGAACAAACTAACATCTCGCGCTGATCGGCGCCAGCTAGTTAAGACGAGACGGCGGGCCACAAATTCTGCATTATCCACGCCGAAGTCGAATCGACTGCGGCAGCCAGTATCTTCGTACATTCTTCGTGTTGAGCGCATTCCACGACTGCGGAGTGTGCACATTTTCCGATCCTGTCCCTCGATGACGAGCGCACAGATTGTTTCCAGGTAATGAATGTAGCGTCAAATGCCATGTTTCCAACCGTGACGTGGTTTCACTCATTCCATAGTTCCCAACCTCGTCCGGACAATCACTACAGTCGCAGTTGCAGTCGATGATGTATTCATCATTGTGCTTCACAATTTACAGCACAATATTACGAAGAGAAGATTCGCTCAAAGTACAGTAATGCCAAGCCAAAGTCAGATTCTTGATTCCCTGGGAAAAAAATCCCACACAAAGAAACATATAATATAACTTGAATTTGGTAAGACCGCAACAAGTTAAGTGTCTTCCCCCACTACTATCTGAAAATGAACATTTTTATATGTAGAGAGAGGCACTAGAGCTGTCTTTTCACACAACAGAAAAGACAGCTCTAGTGACTCCCTCTTTCTTGTGTATCCTTCGGATCCACAAAGTGGCTCGGCTTCGCACCTCCGGCTCTTCCCCGGCAGGTCGAGCACTACTTGCCTAAAATATATTTTTTTCAACTTTCTTAACATAATAAACTGTGTTTTTTTTCCCTTGTGTTGGTCCCTCGGATTTCCCCACTTTGTTTGCTTTTCTCTATGTTTCTTTGAATTGTGCTCCTTCACCACCAGTTTATAATCCAAACGTTACCTTTTATGCGATAAGTTTCTGCATAGGGAGTAAGAGGTATTAATACATTATATCTTTCAAATAAATTTGAATTTCTCACAGAGGTTGATGTATGAAGAAAGTATTTAGATTTAATTCACATAATTGTTCAAGCTCTTTTTTATTTACATAGAAACACGTGTTATTTCAATTTTTCATTTTATCGATTAAATTCTTGAACAAAAATAATTTTTCTAATAACACATACTTCTATATTATTCTTCTAGTTTGTAAGTGAGATAAATTATTCTATTTTTTTTAATCAGTGTTCCTTTTTCGTTGTTTCTTTTAGATCACAAACATGCGGATGAACTCCTTGTCCTTGTTAATCATGCCCATGATGTCTCTTCAACACACTGCGTACTTCAAATATAATTATTCTCTTATAAAGGATATAACGTAAGAAGCCTTCATTTGACTTTGACGATTGTGTTGATGCATGTGTTAAGAATTTAATCCACAAGATATATCAAGATTGGCTTTTTTTGCTAAGTTACATCAGTTTAATCATTCTAATTCCACGTTGTAAATATTTATAGATTAGTGATTATATTAAAAATTCAGCTTTTTCTTTCATCTTAATTTAAGACACTTGCAACCAATTTGATTATATATATATATATATATATATACAAGAACCTTCAATTTATCATTCTTTACATTTATAATACACATATGTTACAAAATATCTCTCTCATGAAGATTCATATAATCAAATATAATTAATTAAATTAATTATATAAATCGAAAAACGTGAAACATCAGGTTCTCATGATGTGCAACACAATTTCAAGCTGAATTTTTATACATGTTGAAATTTCATTACATCACTAATCACAACCTGTGACATTGAGTCTGTACATTGACTTTCCACCTTTGCAGTGTAAAAATGTATATTCTCATGCTGAGTACATACGAAGAATAAACCAAGTAATTCGTATTTGTGAATGAAGTTGATTTACAAGGTCAGCTACTTTGTTAGGACATCACTAGTTTGGATCTAACAAAAATACTCATTCACCAACGAGTCACTGATAATGGACACTACAAATGATATGTAGATAAGGCATCTTCAAATTTGAGTCGGAATCTTACTTGGACAGAAGTATTCTTCATAATGCTACAACTACAACACGTACTTTTAACCTAAATTCTCTATAACTCACCGAGTAGTACACGTGACAAGGTTGCGAGGATTGCCAGGTCTGTGACAGGAATTGTTCAGATCATTGTTCGACAGTGATAAACAATTTTCGTGTCCTGCATTTCATGAACATCTCTCTACGAGACTCGCTATCTTCGAACCTGGAACGTAAACAGACCGTGGCCGTTCCACCTGAGTCGATCTTATCAGGGTGTACAAATTGTATCTGTAAACCCAATACAATTATCTATCGTTGTGAAGAACCGTCAGTGTTCATCAGTCATCTCAACTCCCCGGTTGTGCCCGTCGCCAAGACGTGATTATACTCAAAAATTATCGTTCACAGACTAGTCTATCCTTTCTTTCCCGCTTGCTCACGACCGTCTCATCATTTCTTCTGTCCATGGACGCTTTGACGTACGTCACGTTTGGGTTCTCTAGCGTATGAGTGCCGACTTCACACTGGGTTTTTGCTACTGTCAGAAACGAGACATTCGTACTTTCACTTTACTCCTCTCAAACTAGACCTACCAACTCCTTTCGGTTAACCAATAAAACGACTCATTTCAATTTGTCAAGATGTTATAATGTACAAGACCGTAACTTATCTGATGGATTTGAAGCTTCCTCCCTCTTAGAGAAAGGAAAGCATTCTTGTGAGCACTATACCTTACGTGCAGCCATTTCCTAAGCAATATCAATCATCAATATGTAACGAATGGCGACTTTCCACACTACTTGATCCTACCTCCTACCCCTGCCGCCTCCTCGTCCCCCTCGACCCCCTCCTCCCCTGCCTGCTTTGGAGGGACATAAAAATGCCTTGTGGCCCTCCTCACCACAGTTGTGACAGCCGGTGCGTGACTTCGCGCTGGTGTCTTCTCCATTATTGAAGTTATTGGAAGGAGTGTTCCTTTTGGGCACAGAGTATGCAATTTTCACAGGCCTCCCCAACAAGGGTGATTGATTTAACCTCACAGCGGCTTCTAAAGAATCATCATCTCCGAAATCTATGTGACCAAACCCTTTAAACTCTCCGGTTTCTTTATCGAAGGCGAGCCGTATAGCTTCGATGTTACTGGGCTTGAAGTGTTTCTTCAGAAAGTTTTTGATGGCATCTTCGGTAATGTCCCAGGAGAGATTACCGATATACACAGATAAGCAGCCTTCATGCTTTTTGACTTCACCGAGCTCGGCACTCTTCTTGACCTTGGGCGCCTTCGCTCTCGTAATTTTCAGAAAACGGCCACCCCTGCATTATTTAAAAACAAAATCACTTCAGCGATCAAAAATCCCAGAAAATAGCGGAAGAGAGAAAAAGTGCCAAAAACGATTACTGGAGGAGACCCAAGAAAGAGTCTTACATGTCAGCTCCATCCCATTCGAGGCACTTGTTGGCGCCTTCCTCGGTCTGCACGGTTCACAGGTGCTTGTGTCAGACTACAACACAAAAGTTAAGGCTAATCGGCAGAGCAGAGCAACTCCGTCTAATCGTCAGAGACTGGTCTACGGGGATTTATGGAAGCCCACGTCGGTTCGAGCCTGACATATGTATCAGATATATCGTAGTGACAACATGAATTTGCGTAAGCAAAAATTCAGGTCTTCCTATCATACGTTAATATCATCCTATACACGACACTAGTGGCGACCCCAAAGACAAATATCGGCAGGCGCTAAATACAATCTTATTACATAGTGAAGCCAATGATTGTGTATCAGTTATGTCTTTGTGACAGCACCCGCCTGAAAAGCCAAGCGTCAGGTCTTCCTATCAAAGATTTATCATCATATACACACTCAAATTGATAACCGTCGGGCTCAAGTGTCGTTCAGAAAAGCTTGTTCGAGCACACTCGTTATATTCCAATTCTCGCAATAAGTAAGGCTTACCATCGCGTTCTGTATCTACATAAGTCGACAGCATGCGATGTGCAACTAAGGGGTTTACCGTCGGACATACAGCATCAAACGAAGAACCTTCATAATGATATGAGATAACCCATACAGCTGGAATGGTACCTCAAATGTGATGAAAGCGAGGCCACGAAATTTGCCCGTGTCTGGGAACAATACACAGTCCAACTCCTTCATTTTACCACATTCCGCGAAGTACTCCACAATGTCCTCCTCCGATACATAGTAGGGCATTCCCCCGACGTAAACTTTCTTGGTATCATACTCCTCCCCGGGACTGCAAGTGCAAGACAAATTTTAGTAATCAGAATTCATGGCCACAGGCACCGAACCGTACTTGACCCAAAGTCCCTTCTTTTTTAAACTCTAATAACTCAGCACCAATCCACGATAAAATGGTGAACCACTCTGAGAACACAAGTCCAAAAACTGGACAGCGACATGACAGCGACCAGACAGAAAATTACATATCCTCAAGCTTAATCAAAAGACAAGTCAAGACAACCTAGACAGACCTCGAAGTGCCAAACCACGTTGTTTTGTGAGATATACCTCAATTCATCTGTCTCCCTTCCTGACGTTTGGCTCTTATGTTCCTCCTCATCATTGCCTATTGGAGCGGTAGGCATCTCCTGATCCCCTTCCTCCTGCTCAACTGCTGCGCCCCATCGGTCTTTCTTCTTCTTTCCCTTCCTCTCACGAACAGTCATGCCTTTGGGGCCACCATTTTCTGCCTCTGGGAGTTGGGGCTCAGCAGAACCATTCTCGCCATGTGCCCCTCTCTCCACATTCACAGACGTCGGCTCGGCCTCCGCTTCTGAGTGATCAAGAGCGCCATTCATCTTCCCAGACGAGAGACGATCTTCATCACCTTCGGTAGCAGCATCAACACCTTCTTTCCTTCTCTTCTTCTTCTCCTTCTTTTTCCGATTCTTCGCAGCATTCTCCCCACCGATGGGTTTCTCGACCTCCACGCCCCCATCTCCATCGCCTAGAATGCCAACAAAATCAGCGACAGGCCTCTCAATCTCCCGGGCCCCGTCACCGCCATCCGAACCACCGACGTTTAGTGCGACGGGCTTCACAGGCTCTGCGGGTTTCTCTTGCTTCGGCCTCTTGCCCTTCTTCTTCTGCGCTGCACTTTGAGCTTTCTTCAACTGAGCCTCCTTCGCAAATCCGGCAGCGTCGGGATTCGCAAGCGCTGCGGCAGCTGCTTCCTCATCGCGCTTGCGCTTCAATCTCTTGTGAGAAAGAACCATTTTCGATCAATCTCAGTCCCACAATTCAATCCAGTATTGACTCATCGTACTCTGAGGAAATCGTGAGAGTTGCATCCGCGTTTGGACATCCGATTCACGACATGGGAGCGCATATCTTTGCAGTTCGAGAGGCAGAGGGTATTAGAGTGAAGACCTAAACCCTAAACCCTAACGCTGCCTGACTCCGGGCAGAACCTGCTGCACAGTCGAGTACTGTACCTCATATGAGGAACTCGACACTCCACGCAGTCGCAGTCGGAAACTGTCCCCACTGCGTGTCACCATCAACCCGTTGTCGTGGTCGCAACAGTGAAGACGCGCCATGGGTATCCATGTCCTGACCAATCATCTATGCATGGTTGCAATTCTCGGGCAATTTTAATTCTCGATTTTATTTGTACTAAGTGTCATTTAGACCTCCGCAGAAGTACAGTAAACTTATTGTAAGTCTACCAAACGCCTGAACACTAGACCTGAAAGTCAGATTTTCACTATGAAAAAATATTTACATACTTGATTGATGCGGAAAAATCTTTGCTTAAAACAAAGTTCTTCCAAAAAAGACTAGACATTCTACTATATCACTTTTACATTCAGAATGAACAGATGGAACGAAATTGGCCATGCCAATAGAAAATTGAGTGTGCCTAGAAGTGGAGTCGATGATTAAACAAGTTTCCTTGAGGTATTTTTTCGTAAACTAAGCTTGTGGAGGAAGAGTACCTTCCTGAGGACTTTGGAAAAGCAAGTTTTGATTACTCGCCATGTGAAGACGTTACGAGTAGACATGCTTGAATATCTGGACAAGAATCAAACTTACTCTACTCTGAAAATTGGTCAAACCTATGCATCTTTTCTTTTTATAACTGTAAAACCTTCGTCAGTTTCCTTATGAAAAACTTCTTTCGATGATAGATATGAAGCTATTACGTAATGCAAAGTTCCATACAACCGTTACTTGAAAACAATTGTGTGTAGATATGTCTAGTATAATTCATATTTTGAAGCTCAGTCTTGAAATTATTATATTATTCATGTTTAACAGTTCATATTTCTTTAACAAATCATTGCAATAGAGTTTTCAAAACGTTTGTGTGATTTAATATCTGACAGTATTTCAAATAATCTGATACCTTTTCCATTTTCAAACCTTCACAACTCCTCTTAGGTCCTGTCTTGAACTTAATAACTAAAAACCTTTCATATATCTCGAATTGTTTTACCAAATTGGGTACCTTACATTTTAGCGACATATTTTTTTCCAAAATTTCATGTTACTTTATTATGATGAGTTTTGTGTGCTTATGGATTTATTATAGCATTTGTATATGGTTCAAAGCGATGTAAAACTCTAGATAAATTCGGCAAGTCTTCAAAGCATTGAACATTTCTTATTTTCTAAAAAAAATAAAATATAATAGATACATTTATTTTTTTAAAAAAATAAATCTTTAATATCTTTAAAATAAATTGAAGCTTATTGATTTTTATAAAATTTTACACTTTTTTACAATCTATCATGATGTCATGTATACATACTTAGCTCTCTAAATCCTTCAAAATTTTCAACTTTCATAGATGAATATTTTTTTTACAAGATTTTCTAAAATTTTCATTTGATGGATCTACATCGAACATTAATAGATTCATGAATATTATGAAAAAAAACTGATTCAAAGACTGATGAGTTGTATAATTTTCATTTTCATTTATGTGACATTTTTGTACTATAATAAATGTTATCATTTTGAATTTAAATCTCCTGACCATATCATTTGACTGCAAATGATATCTAATGAATATAAGCAAATGATTGTGATTTTATTTTAATACACAATTTATTTAATCTTTCCAAATTTTTTTCAAATTTTAATAAATTTTGTCAATCCTTACATCTATTAAAAGGTGAATTTTATTGATACACATGATTAACATTCGATTTCTTTCATAATTATAAAAAATTCATGATAATTTTATAATCGTCAATTTAAATAATATACAAAAAATTGAAATAAAAATCATGATTTTTGTGAATCATGAGTGGTTCAAATGATTCAAAACTCAAATTCAGATTCTACTTTTGATTTTGAAAGTTTGAAATTTAATATTACATCTGTTAAAATATTGATCTTATTTTCTCAAAAAATTGTAAATTTTTTTATTTTAATCAACTTTTGTTAACATTAAAAAAAATCTAAAAATATTTTCAATTGCAATAATATTCTAATTTATTTCTTTTTTAAATTTATATTTTTCCAAACATACCCTTTATCTCTTTTTTCTTGTTGAAAATATTGATTTTTTATGCATAAATATCGATGTAAAAAAAGCTAGCAAGCGCTTAACCTGTAACACTTATATCTTTTTTTCAACTTTCTACATTTTTCTTCACATCTGTAAAAGACAAACTTTAGTGTCCAATCATGACAGCAGTCTTTGCTTATCCTTAAGCAAACCATGCTCAATATTTGAGGAATAAGATCATATAATGTATAACTATTTTTCACTGCACTACTTCAAAATGGAATGAATTGAGTATGAAAAGAAAAGTAACACAGAGATAAATTCACCTTAGATGAATGATACATGAGACATTATTGATAGAAATCGAATCATGATTGGACTTTTCTTACATTGATGTCATACACAATTAATATATCTCTTGTATCATAGATTTGAATCGTTAAGTTTTGCGAGTTGAAATTGCAATATATTGATGATTAGTTGCAATATATATATTGCGACATAAACATGTCTATTGGGTTTGTTTACTTTGAAAAAATTGAGTGTTCTTTCTTAATCTAAACATCATTGAATTTGAAAAAAAATGTCATTAGTTTTATCCATTTCATTCATATAATCCAGTAATCACTTAAATTGATGTTCTCAGTCTCCCCCTGTGCTTTGTATTTAGAGTTTTGGAAAGCTCAAAATAATACATTCTGAATCATCATTAATATTCAATACATTCTAGAAGATGAGAGATTTCATCAGCCACGTGATACAGTAGACGGATGTACAAGAACAAATCATAAAATCTGTTGCAGCGCCATGGTGAGGCACTATATTCAAAATAACGCAATATAGTGCTTTATTTTGAAATAAATAAAGCTAGTTAAATTGATAGATAACCATTGATCTGACGACCTGCGGGCACTGGTAGGTCAGAATCAGCTGCAAACAAGGACGTTCCATGTTGCAATCGCCACTGCTTCAGTGTAATTTTCATCTCCAATTGATGCCGTCCAATTGGATCGATACTTTCTGCCTGACAGGGTGAGAAGTTCTGACTAATCTAGCCGGGAAGAAAGGCAGTACATTCCCTGCACCTGTGACCGCAAAAAGCTATAAGCAATGGAAATTTACGACAGAGGACTTCAGTATTTCAACATTTCAAGGGATTTCTACATGATATCATTTCTAGATCTCAAATTTCTTTTGATCTTGCCAATATCATTCTACTCTACATGAGATGTCTATCTCGGATATTCAAATCCAGAGAAGCATAAAAAACTATCCTGATTTAGACCGCTGACAGTCCTTCAATGCTACTTGCAATAAGTGTGTCACTTCTTAATCCTCGTTACGATCATCAAATGTTTTATCGTTATACGCAGTATGTATGTGTTTTTTTGGCACTTTGTTATGGTCGATTCACATCACACAAACAATGAATTTCACAATGTGCACAGTCACTGAACCAACGATGCAGGCTTCAGTGGCCTTATGTATTCAGCTGGAGCTACGTTGAGATACAGGACGTCTCACACTCGAAGAACTGGAATCTTTGAACCATATCAATAATATCCCTCTTGAAGACTGCCATGCACAGAGTGCCAAGAAGTTTCAGACATAGCAGCATAAATATGTCGAATTGTAAAATTATGTGCAACCGCCGAACTCCGTCAGCACAGAAGATATTTCACATCAGTAAGGCTGGAGCCTGCAGTTGGTCTTCCATATTATGAAAATACCTCCTTCCATTCCGGTTGAAATTCCTGTTCACCGTCATCACCGTCTCTTCTGCACTGTACCTCCCCATTTGAAAGAGAGGAGGTGAAAGTACGACCATAAAACCTGATTTTTAACGAAAGAAGCTCAATACTTTCTGTTTGAGAGAGATTTAAAGACACAGCAGCTCCTGCTGAAGTTCCTGTTTCAGAAGGAGCCACACACATTATAGGCCACACGTGGCCATACGATTAACTCTGATATAATCCAGTCTGGTCGGTGGAAGATATTATTAAGCTCCGTGTTGCCACACTGTATCCTGATGAAAGATGATCGATCTGAGACATGCGGGAACCCCAATTTAAAAGTATTACACCAATATATGACGTTGAGGATACATGAAACGTGTCCCGCTATCGCATCCCACAGAAATGTTGCTTGCTACCAAACCGAAATTCTCTGTTCGGGCAGTCATTCGAGATGGTGGATAGACTCCAGTTTGGGAACCTACACAATCCATTGCCGGAGAGACTGCACATGGATGACGCACCTTTTTTGATATCAATGCCTTAACTACGCATGAGAAGTTTGCTTCGCTTGTCAAAGTGCCTGACACCGAAAGGCGGAACCTTGAAGATGGTGAAAAGTCAGAATTTGAGGATAAAACAAGTAACAATTGTAAGATCCCTAGTCCCTTTGGCTTTAGATTCTTTCTTTCGCAACACCGCGATAAAATCAACTCTGCTTAGAGCGGAGGTAAAAGGTCCACAGTTTCAAATCAGCTTCATGAACCGTCGACACGTGATTTCAGTAAGAAAACATTAGAAATTTGCTCTTCATTCTAAGTTGAAAATCGTAAATCCACTGATTGCAGTCGTGCTGCTGTACACACATCCTTTTGAGAATCATCATTCCACATGTCTGTAAATTGATCTGATTCATAAGCATTCAGAAAACGGAATAGAAGACCTTGACTGACATACTTTCGATGAAATACAGAGCACTTGAAATTCAAAAATTCTGAGGATAAATCTGAGGACATATCTTCCCAAACCATGATATATCCTTCTGCAGAAAAAACCCACAACAGTTCGGGCAATTTAGATGCTTTTACTCGGTTCACACTAGAATTGAACGTCAAAAATTCAACCTCGAGATGCATTATGGTAACCATGTTTCTATATACTGTAACTATTTGTTCCATGTTAGATAAATATTTTGCAGTACAAAAGCAATGTTGAATTGGCACCCTCTAATATCTGCTGTCTTTCAGTCCATGGAAGAGGTTGAGATTGATATACGGTTAGGATTTACCTGACTGATTTGTGTGATGGTCGAAATCAGACTCGTGTAGCAGGTGATCAAGTGATGTGTTCTTGCAGTCTAACTAGAACCAAGTACATTAGAATTGCGTTTGGATACCAAATTCCCAAAGTTTTATTATCATTGTCAGCTTTTCCACATTCCTTCCATTTGCTTGTAACCGTTTATTGATAATAACAAAAGCCCAGGTTGGGCCTAAGCCCATGGAATACATGGATAGTGTTTGTTAAGGTTCATTGAAAGTGCTCACTGAACCTGCTTGGTCTATTCAAGGTTGATAACTGGTTACCCCATATGCTTTATACTGGTCTAAACCAGTATTGTAGGAGGTACCACTAAGAGGTGTACAAGATGGTAAGATGAAGTAAGACTGTTCCAAGACTTGATCGGTGATTTCAGCTGTGGTAACGTTTGGTTGTCTGTGCAGTATATCCGAACAGAGAAAACACGTTGGATTCTTTCCGAAAGTGGAGACATGACACCTCGGGAACTTCCCTTCTTCGTGTGTGATATATATATATATATATATATATATATATATATAAAAAGATATAAGTTAATAAGAGGATATCCTTAAAATGGCATGTTTGTTTATATTACCCAACCGTTCTTGAAAGTTTGCGCAATTTCATGCACAATATATGACTAGGTTATAAATTTCAATCCCCAGTAACACAGATCGATTTAGATGAAATCAGACAAAGGAAGGCAAGATCGACAGATTGATAGGAATAACTGATGAGATACCTCGAGAAGAGAACAATAGTTATATAGTGGATCTTCTAAGAAAGTCTAGACACATTTGCGGCAACATGAGACTGGAATAGACTCATGATGATGGTCCTTAAGATGCGAGGTAACACAAGTCTTCTTAATCTGAACGAAAATCCCACACTCTGCATCGGGACATATCAGCAAATCATGAGATGTCCCAGGGTGAAAAGAAAAGGAAAAAGACCAAGTTGAGTCCATTAAGCTACTAGTCCTGATATAAGACGAGGACTATAGATTGAAGTTAAAAACCACAATTTTGACTGCACTCTTGGCATACACAAAGCGGAGAAGACTCTTAGACGTGCGAGCTGATTGAGAGATTCTCAGTTGAACTCTACCACCACTCCGTCAAATTCAACATCCTCCTCGTGGCCTCCGGGCACAAAAGTCACAGAGACTCGCTCCGATTCTTTGACTCCCAAGGCTTTCAGACTAGCTCCTATGCTCAGTCGGAAGTCAATTTTCTGATTATGTTCCATACCATGGCTATCCATGTGAGGAATGTGGCTGATCACACCGACAAAATTATGGACTCCCAACGGGGTGAAGGCACCGGCTTCGAGCAAGTTGATGAACACCTTGTACAGCATGAACGAGTTCTTCGGCACCTGCACACCTTTTACAACCAAAGTTTCCTCAAGTTCTTCCGCCGACCGTCCGTGGCTCGGAGTAGGCTCGATCCGCGCGAGCGCGACCGATACGGACTTGTCATTCTTGAGAACTGTCTCCGTCCCCAACGCGTCAATCGTTCCCGGACTGGGCTGCTTATAAACGGACGGCTTGAACTTGTAATAGATCCAATCGTCGTCGCTGCTCTTGAACTCCTTCTCCTCGTACTCGTACCGCAGAGGTAAGGTGTCGAGAGTTTGGCTGATCTTCACGTGCACGAGCTGCTTTTTGTGATTATAGAAGGCGAACTTCGTATTGAGGAAATCAGGATCAGTCGGATCCTCTCGCTTTCTATAGCCTCCCCGAGTAGAGGGATCGATCTTGAGACTCTTCCACACTGTCCACAGTCTGTCCACGTTCGCATGGTGACTGTAAAAGATGGGATCTTTGGCTGTGAAGAGGAATGTCCCCATATCTGAATTGTCAGGGTATATAGCCTTGTTATTGGAACCTGTTCAAGAGTGGACGATGTTGTGCCCGTTCGTCTCGATACTCCCCGGACCTTTTGGCTCTGTAGTTTGCCCCGCCCTGTAAGGCTTCCCCAGAAAAAGGGTGATCGACACCGGCGAGACCATCGCCCGGTTCATGAAAGCCAAGTTGTTTTGGAAGACACAGTTCAAGTCTTTCTTGTACAAATCGCTGGGGTCCAGACGGACGACCTCCGGAGGGAAATGCTCCCGATTCCTGATCGCGTTCGACAGCTCATATGGTATTTCGTTTGCTGGCATAATGAGTGGCTTTATAAGATAGATTGGTCCTGTCGGTGCGTACATCAAAGGCATCTGATTGCCGCCGACTTCCTCTCGCTGGTTGTCCCAGTTCCAGACAGGAAGAGCGAAGCTTTTATCGCCGATCAGGTCCCCGAGAATTCTCTCGTGGAAGTAAAGATACATCCTGTGCCACGGGGCGAACGCCCAGCTATAGTGGTACTGCAGTTGGACTCTGACCGATGGAGGTGGTGGTGGAGGATAAGAAAAACCAGGATCAATTCCGGATTCAGGCTCGAGGTAGGCGCCCATGCAGAAGGCACAATGGATGTGCCACTGCGCTGCGAAGCTGCGGGGGTCGTCATCCGGGAGCTGTTTCATCCTCAGGTAAGCTAAGTTGTATTTAGCAACGTATGCCGGATCTTTTGACAGAATGTGGGCCGGTTTCCGAATCCGCATATCGTGAAGGTCGTCGTACTCGAACTTGAAGTCGATCGGAGTCTCATGTAAATCGGGGAGACAGCAGTGCACAGTGTTATTAGTGCTATTAGTTTTCCGATTTACATTGGGAACTGGCTTACAGTACTTCAGGGACAAATCCGCCGGAGGGACGGGCGCCGCGACCCCGAAACCTGCGGAAGTGAGATAAGAGAACGTCCCAGTTGCGCCCCACAGTAGCTGTCGTCGATGCAGGAGTGCTTGTTCGATCGTCGCATCGTCTTCCTCGTCATCTCCTTCCGTCGAGTCCTCGCTCGCCTCTGCTCCCGTTCTCGCGGTAGCCTTCAGCTGGCTCCTACTGAGCACAAGCGTCGATGGAGAATCCCGATGCGGCCCTCTCCTCCTGACGATGGCGGCGCTCGAAGAATTCAGCCCGCTCGCTCTCGATCGCGTCCTCTCCTCGGCTCTGCAATTCACGTTTCCTTGCACTGTCCGTGTATTCACTTGATTTTCTTGACCCTTGTGAGCTCGAGGGTTCGGAGACAGCAATGAAACAGTGCACGAAGCTGCTGTAGTCGCCATCTCGTCTTGTTCCCAAAAGCGAGGCGATGCTCAAGTTCCAGTTCACCTGCAGGCCGAGCAAGTTGGGAAAGCTAATTAGACGTTCTGAAATCACTTCGCTGACTAGTGAGATTACCATAACCCATTCTCGTAGAAGCATCAGGTGAAAATTATTGCTTGAACTCAACTGTGCCTAGAATAGAAGTTTTTGGGAGCACAATTACAGCAACAGGACGGAGACTTTCTGTCGTTCTGATCAGCTTCTGATGAGGAGCTAATTTCCGACAAATGGAAACCGGACGACACGGGGGACTTTGATGTGCATGAGAATCGGCAGAAACATGTTCCACTTTGTTGCATGCACTCCTCTCCTAATCCACAATCGTCCTGTTTTGGAAAGTGCTACCTTCTTCTTCGCACTTCCCTGATCTATACTACTGTCATACGTAGGCTGCAATCAGTGGCCGAGAAGAATATAAATCAATGTCGGATCGTGATGATTACGTAGCTAAAGGGTATCACATTGTCAACGATGGCGGCAATATGGAAATGACATGACCTCATGCAAGAGAAGAGATAATATGTCTGATGAGTATCACAAGCATACGTGATCGTCATTCGCAACGTAAACAAAGCACTGGATAACAACAGACAGATAGCACATAAATGAAGAAGCGGCTGGAAGTGAATGTCAAACCAAGTCAGTTCTCTGGCTCAGGTCTCCATTCTCAAAAACTTCTCGTTGAACTGCAGAAACTTTTAATGGGACCTGGTCTCCGTATGGTGGATACACCACTGGCCGATGTGTTAGATCAGATTGAAGTTCTCAGATAGGAAGCCACTATATATGTAGGCTGGACTGAACGAGGTCTGATTCACCTTATTAGAGATGATATTGATATAAGCTCAGGTCAGGACCAAATAATGCAAGCATCCGTTATTTTCTCGCACAGCATGATAACAGCAGTGGATCACAGACCGCGAGAGGAGTCAGGAGACTATACTTGACTGGAAAACCTGAAATTCAAACTAAGAGAAGCCACTCTGATGGATCCACGTTCTAAAAAAACTCTCGAAATCTGCACCTATTATTCAGACGAGCTTCGTGCAACTGGGAGACACATATCGCATCCACCGTTGTAGCAGGTTGAAGATCCACCAAGGTAAGGACGCTATATATACGTTCAGGGTGTGAGGAGGTTAATGACTGGATTTGCAAATGTTTACAACTTTACCGTCGGCCCCACAGGAAGATATTAACTTCGCCATGCTCTCTTTTACACAACTAGTCCAAGAAACCACTTCAGCACAATAATGCATGCCTTTCACCTCTCAATCTCCATAGGACATCTGATGACAAGACGCAAAAACGTGCCCGGACGATCAACGTAGCCAACACTGACCTTCGAACATGACGTACATTCATTCGTGGACCCGCTCCGTCCAGAGGAGTCCTTGAATGGTTGCTGGATGTTTTCGGGACAGTTGGCCTTTTGCAGGCACTTCGATTCCCCCAAAACAAGAGTTGAAGTAAGTGATTAACTCAGGCCTTATAAATTCTGGCATTTTCCCGATGAAATAGATTCATTATTCTTATAATTTCCGTAGAGTATTTTTTGATGGGAGTGAAATCAACTCGTTGGTTATTCAATAGTTGCAATTTCAACCACGGGTGACAAAATGAACTGAAAGAAATATTAATATGATGGTCAGTAAAATAAATAAAGATTAATTGGTAGATAAAGAATACAAGTTTCAAGTATATGAATAGTAATCAATTAAATCATGTTATTTTTTTCATGAATATTTTAATTCATTATTTTCATTTGATGGCCTGGCGATAATCATTTGGAGAGTTTCAAATTATTTCACATAATAAAGAAAAAGGAGTCGTCTTCGTTAGCATTCCCGATTTTCTCGGACTGGACTCGGGACCACGCACGCTTTTCTCCATGAAGCAGTTCACAATTTGACGAGAATGATTAACTTTCAAATGCAAGCACTGTTGATTGAATTTACAAGTCTTCTTTCACTTATCCACATGGAAGGACACCAATATCTGAATATTAGAGATTTTTTATTAAATGATCCATTCGTGAAGCTTACAGTGATGGTGCAGCAGTTTATTTCATTAATTGAATCATTTAAACCCTGGACTTGATGTTAAATGATAATTATCAGACATTATACCCTCTTCAGTCCCACTTCGGACTTGAGAGCTTCATTTGGCAGGAAGAAGAAAACTGCCACACTAGTAGAAAGTTTCGGGATCGGCAGTTATAACTGTATGATGAGACATAAAGCTCTGTATTGGGAGCACACGCAGTTTCATAGCTTGTATGTTGACCGGTTAGCCACCGTCCTTTCTGTTCTACTACAATAAGTGATTTTTTTTATACTCCTACTATTTTGCTCTGTACAGAGGAAAAAATTTCATAAATTATATTCCACCAGATTCTAAAAATTCGGCAGCTCGTGACAAAGTTCGAAATCAAAATAGCTATTTTTTGATTTGGGATTTCACCCATTTTGGAGGCAGTCTATGTGGACCCTTGTACAGAAGGTTTTATTTTAGTCAACTCGTGCAAATTTATTCATTTGAGAAAAGCACGAAGGACATATATATTTTATTTGAAACCTCCTCCTCCTTATATGAAAAATCTTCATTGTTATGTGAATTGCATCTCTCTCTTCTACTTCTCGCCAATTCAAAGTCGTTTCCAATGGATTATTATGGGATGTCGCATTGTCACGATAACAATCGATCTAATCAAATTCCTTTTCATTTTTCATCTACATATATTTCAAACCAATTTTGCAGTCATACATTACCTCGGAAACCAGTATGCAAACCCATGCATACTAACAATGTCATAAAACACAATGCTTTATTTTATTCTAGTCCATATTCCATGGGAAGATCTTGATCTTTTCAAATCAGCCCTTAACAAAAGTTTCATTGATGAAAACTTTGGATCTCAAAAGTTATTATATTATCATAGTAACCACTGTACAATCAATAAAACTTGCTTAATGCAATTAAATATGCGATTTTAAATCCAAAACTATTTGAAAAAAATTTACAATCTCATTTTCACTATTATAAATATCTAAGAAAATATGGAAAAATAATATTGTCAAAATCCGTGCACACCGACCAGCACTACTATTCGGCTTTGGTAACGGTATGTGGGCAGATGTAAACTCATGCAGATAAGAACAAAACTTGTAAGTACATGCTCGGGGTTGGGGGCAGTCACCTCTGTATTCATCTTTGGCGCACTACTAAGTTAGGCAGAAAGGAAATAGACTCAGTGAACTGCGCAATTATTGAAGGCTCATTCCCACAACATGGAGTGGATTTTACAATTTGTTCTTGATCATTTCCATTGCAGATATGTTGCCACCCAGTCTGTGCCTAATCTTGTGGTATACTCAAGTTCTTGTACAAGGATAGTCTAGCGCATGTTATTACTAATTTTCTGGATACAGTAAATCCCATCTGAGACTATTTGGGATTTAGGGGTGAGGATCTGAACGCCTGAACTACCTGATTGAAGCAAGACTCGTCCTTAGCATGCCTAGATGTTACTAAAACATATATCTGAGTGGATGTTAAATACTGAGATGTAAAATATCCCAGCAGATATTTAACATCTAGGGATCGTAAACGATCATAAGAGTTTCAGCAGCCATAGTACAGTTGACAAGGTAGTGTGAGATAGACACAGCGAGCAGAACTTACTGATGGTGTTGAGATCGAACCGTATGCTTCACACAAACATCGAAGTCCAGTCCAAATAGCCTTGCGTTGAGCTGAGGTAGAGCTACCGGTAGAAAAGTTTAGTCTCTCACTGACCGACAGACTGACAGGGTGGATGATCACAATTTCGTTGGATCTATCAGAGAGGTTGATATCACTAGTCAGATTGGTACTTGTACGATCAATAACTCCTGCTAAAGAACAAGAAAATCACACATTGACGTCGCAATCTTCTGTCTCACACAATAAATCGACAGTGGCATACCTGGATCGATAGTGGCTTTGTGGATCTTACCTACAGGATCACTAAATTTGATGCAATTGCGTCATCATGCATTTTTCACGTGATGAAAAGGATCGTACTAAGTTCAAGCGGGTAGATTGACATTGAGGAGGTCTACTTCCAGATTTCAGTTTCACTGGATGGAATCCCCCATAAACCCCACACTAGGTGACAATATGGGCAAAGCCATTGGCCCAGATTGTCACATACTTACTGCCATTCATTGAGATAACAGTTCGTAGAGGAGAGGTTCTCTTCTTTTCTAGAGATTTCCTCGTCATGCTTTTAGAAAAGTAAAGAGCCATGCACGCTCTCCGACTGCAGCCGACACCATCTTGGATCAAGGGGATAAGTACGAGTTCATTCCGCTGAATTTGTTTCGTCGTCACAATGTCGTCACAGCTCGGACTGTGGAAACGTCTCAAAATAGTTGACACAAATGTAGGAGTCCAGGCCAAATAGCCTCGTTTGAGCTGAGGTAGAGCGACGTTCAGCTCAATGTCATTCAGATCTATCAGAGAGGTGGATATCACAAGTCAGATTGGAGCATGTACGATCAATGTAACTACTGCTATAAAGAAGAAGAATATCATTTGTTTTAATGACGTTGGATGGTTTATTTGTTACACAACCAATCGATACTGGCTTACCTGGACCTCACCTAGAGGGATCACTAATTTCTATGCACTTGCGTCATCAAGCATTTTTCACGTGATGAAGGAATCGTGCTTAGTACAAGCGGGTATATTGGCCTAGAGAAGGTCTACTTCAAGCATTCAGCTTCACTGGATGGAATCCCCCATTGTCCCCACGATATTCTCGACAAAGCCATTGGCCCAAATTGTCACATAGTTACTGCCATTCGTTGGAATAGCAGTTCCTAGAGGAGAGGTCGGTCTTCTTGAAATAGAGATTGCCTCGACATGCCTGTATAAAGAAGAAGAGTCATGCACAAGCATGACAGGTTTACAGCGGATGCAACCACGTTCACCAACTGCAGCCGACACTATTTTGGATCAAGGGGAAATGTACGAGTACATTCTACACCCGTCGACATCGCAGAGTCGTCGCAGCTCGGACTGTCGAAACGTCTCGAAATGGTTACAAATCCTTCGTGACTTGATTCTCTAGTTCTAGACACGATTGCCTGGTTGATCGGTTTCTTCACCCAACGAAGCCAAGGTTTCAGCATAGCAGTGTTTCCAAAGACGGGAACGCGCTTGTGAAATAGCAGGCAGATTCTCCACAGATTACTCCAACATGGAATCAATTCTCCCTGCTCTTTCTCGAAACTCGTTTTTATAGAAGTAGCTATGAGATGGAGAACACTGGAGACAGATGAATGGTATCAATCCGCTCGACATCATCAAAAGCTGTGATGCGATGTGTCTCCAGCCGAAAAGTGCCAACAGTAAACATCGTATTTAATTGTGCTTCTTCGAGCTGAGAGTGGATGTAGTCTTATGGTGATCAAAGCGTTCTAGCTGGTGCTGTTGAGAGGATCATTGCGAAAGTCTCAAGGCAACTGCCCTTGAGGTGCACGGATTGGAGAGCTGCAACGAAATAAAAGTTGGTGGATTTCGGCCCCGTCCTTGCAGCGAAAGACGAAACAAACGTTCTGAATCTCGAGACACCGCCGGCATCGGCACCGTCAAAGATCGCCGTGAGAGCCAGCGTAACAATGTTGGCCAGGGAGAGAATCACGAGACTCACGTCAGGACTGGTACAAGACCGCGTGAGGAGAAGGAAGTCCTGCAGACTGCAAACAGTTCAGATCTCCAGATCTGATTTTCTGCTTGGGGACCATTTCCGAGAAAGCTACGACTCAACAACGTTACGGTTACGTAGAGACGCTGTTGCAGATTTGATAGCTTGATACGCTATATTGACTTATAAAGAATTAGTCTCTTCACAGCCAACAGAAGCGGATTTGAAAATACGGATTTTCCTTCTTTTGCGTTTTTTCCAAGGTACCAATTTTTAGTTTAAAAATAAGAAACATTCACTAGAGTTTATGTAGATAATGCTTTTCATCAAGTCAACCAAAAATAGACAATATATATTAAAAATGTGTATAATTAAGTATTTATATTCCTTTTAAT